TGTACCCTATGTCAAGTCACACCTTCCATAATTTTTATAGAACTACATAAGTATATTCCTAGTGTATGTTCCCAGAAGTGAAATTGCCAATTTGAAGACCAGGCATTTTTTTTTTTTTTTTAAGTTTGATTGATACTGCAAAAGCATCTATTGAAAAAAACAAGAACCAATAATGTAATGTTGGTTGATGTTGCAGAAAATGGGAAACCCAGAAACCACAGTGCCTATATTGCCCTTGTTATGAGAGAGTCCATATTTTGATATTTATGTTTCATCCCCATCTCTACCTCAACAACCATTACATACAGGTACCCATCATGACATTTCTGGCATGGCCAATGATGAGGGTTTGCAAGCTTCACGTAACAAAGTCAAAATTTTTCTACTTGGTTGTTCAGTGAACTTGTCCTGGAGGATGCTTTCTGATAGGTGATACAAATCTTTACACTTCATATCTATGGCTATGTATTTAAAGATACACTTCTTTTTGTATCAGATCCACTATTCCTTTTGCTATCTGGTTCCCGAGAACATGGCCAAGCTACAGGCCATTTCTCAAGCATCTGCATACATTCTCACCTCAGAGACATTTCTTTTTCCACCCTAAGTGGATGACCAGTTATCTCAACCCATCTATTTTGGTGCACGTCTACATACTAAGTAAAGTACTTCCGAGAAAAACTTGGGCTTTTCTGTTTTCAGCATGATAAATGACCCTCATATGACCATAACTGTAAGCTGAGGAAAGGACCCAAAGAGGACCATGGAGTAATACATGGACTTGATCCACCTGATCATGCAGATTACAATTGTGCTGTATAGTCCTCTCTAGGCTCAATCATGGGTATTCCATTTTAAATACATAATACACTGCTGCTAGGCGTGTACAAATTTAGGACTTGGTGGGCTGACAGAACCCAGCACATGACCATGAGTTCTCTTTACATAGTTACTTAGTGTACTTTGGTTAAGATTTTAATCTCTATCATTTACCTCAGGCTGAATGCTTAACTTACAGCTTACTGCTTTTAGATGTGAGATATATTATCTCTAGGACCTAAAGAGGCTCATGTGGAACAGTGATTCCTTCATTGTGTTAAAGGATGCAAGATGCAACTATTTACCTTTGACTCTGGAGTGTTTATATCAGAATGTTCTTGATCACTGGATGTCTAAAATCTACTGATGTGGCAAGTGCCTGTATCTTCATAAAGTTTATCTTCCACTGTGAAATGCACATATTTCATAGTGACCTCAGTACACTAGCCATGTTATTTCTCATCCTAATTAGCATGATGGGACCAATAGGATGAATCTATGGAAGTAATTTGGTTCATACCATTTTAGATAACATTATAAAAAAGAAAGTAGGACAGTTAACCCTAGAAAAAACTGAAAATGAATACTTATGTCTATCCCATGTGAATGTGAACAGTTTCTGCTATCTTTTTATACTTTAAGTGGAAAAGACTCCATTCACCAAAGCATAGAAGTGTATCACAGAGTAGAGACCTTACAAATCTGCTCTAGGAAAGATACTACGTCTGGTGTGTTACCAGCATTGGAAGTCTTGATTGAGGAAGCAGTAGTACAGCAATTACCCAAGAAATAACTAGCTATTTCTTCAGAAGCCACACTGGAGAATTAATTAGAGATATGACAGCAACCCTTCATCCTATGATATCTTTAATGATATCACAGAACTCTACCATTCCCATCCTTCAGGATACGATATTGCTTTTTTTTGTTTCCGTCTGGGCTGGCAGAGAGAAATTTCAGAGGTTTCCATGAACTTCTTTATCAAGTGTCATAATAACTCTTACTCTGTTATCAGGGGAACCTAAGAATTCCCACGCTCTTACTGACACTAAAACCCCTGTGACTCTCTGAACCTTAGAATGTAAGTTCTTTCTTTGCTTAGTCTCTAGAATGTAGGGTCTTATCTCTTCCAGCAAGGGGAGCTGCTATCTTCTTGTATCAGAGAATTCAAGAACTCAAGAATCTTTCAAATGACTCATCACAAACCTCATGATTACTCTTCTTTCCTATCAAAGACCAGAGTAAAGTCAGGTCCTGACTAAAGAATAGAACAGGAATCAGCAAACTTTTTTTTCAAAGTGTTAGATAATTAGTGTTTCCAACTTTGCAGTTGGTTTGGTTTCTGTTGTATCTGTTCAACTCTGCCAGTGTAGCATGCAAACAGCCATGAAAACCATGCTAATGAATGGTAAAGGTTGAATTCCAAAAAAGTAGGTTGTTGGATGGTTTTGACCACTGGACTACAACTTAATGAGCCTTAAAAAATATTGTTGCCAGGGATGTGAATTAAATTTTATCTTAGTAAATTTCACACATTATTAAATATTGGACTTTATTACTAGTGTAAATAAAGCTTCCAGCTGCAAAGAGAGAGAGAGAGAGAGAGAGAGAGAGAGAGAGAGAGAGAGAGAGAGAGAGAGAGAGTTACTTTACACACTGCTGTGAGATCATTCTGTCCTTACAGTGTGTTTTAAATTGATAGTTGACTAAACAAAATCTCTCCTTATTTTTTTTCTTGAAGATGTCTTTTGTGGATAAGAAAAATCCATCAAATCTTCTATTGTTATGATTACCATTGCCCTCTTACCTTTCAAGTTTTAGAGCTATTCACTAAGGCATGTTCCTTTTCCAGCATTCTGCAAGTACAAAAAGTTTTGTAATCATAGTGCTGTATCAAGCTAAGGAATCCACCAGCAGGTTTCTTGTTGCTGTCTGATTCAATTCCAGATTTCTTATCAGAGTGTCTGCTCAATATTCCTCCAAAAGTGTTTAGCTGCATGGAATTTATTCAGGTAGTAGTAACAGAAAGCTTGTGAGGTGAACCAAGGAGGAAGTAAGAGAAAAGTAAGAAGATCAGTGAAGATAGCAATGATGACCAGCATGTGGTTATTGTAACTTAATTTTGATAGATGCCACTGAAGACTAAGTGGAACACATTTCAGAATTGCCTCAATCATGAGAACAGAAGCTGGGATATTCTCCACCAGCTGCTGTCTCTCATTGGTGGAAGGTTAGTTGTGGTTATTAAAGTAGCTCCTCCAGGCATCTCTGCAGTATTCCCTAATGGAAAGAGAACACCCTGGGCAGGGAGATGCAGGGAGCTATTGATCTGTGTAGAAACCATATGCTGCATCTCCTGGGACACTGAGCTGATAGCCCATTGACTGAGAATCGCTCATGGAAACCACTATGTGAAGGTAACATGTGAGATGAACTGATCCTTAGAAACACATGGAAGGAACAATAAATTAATGTTAAAGGGATAGTTGCAAGCATTGTTTCAGTAATATAAAATATGTAGTGAATAAATTAAAATGTCATGGTGGGAGGCTAAATAGATGGATATGGGGCTCTCTGACTGGATACCTTTATTTTGGTGATCTAGGCAGGTAGTCCTATCCTCTAAAGACCACCAGGAGAACATTTACATTTGAACAAGCTGTGTTTATTTTTCATTTCAGCAAAGGAGACCATACAACATGGAAAACCATAGGCCATCTCAGCAAGAGGGAGTTCAAAATGACTTATGCTAGGATGTGGGCTTGTATTTGGTAGTTTGAGAAGGGATTTAAAATAGCAACTTTTCTCTGGATGAAATGCTAACACAATGCAGGAGCCACACTATGATTAAATATCTTAATAAGTCTTATTTAAGAATGTGGAAGATTAGACTTGAGCTAAACTGTAATTGATAAAGAAGCACCAGCCACTCATATTGCCTAGGAGAGGGAATATATAGTATTTTGTGGCTTGTACAATGTTCATGTACTGTTTGTTCAGATATGAATAGATATGAATAGATAGTTTTCCATCATCTAAAATGCTTACTTTCCTTTCAAAACAACAGAATATTTTATGAAAATAATGCTTGACCTTCTCTTATTCAATAGCATTAAAATGTAAAAGAAAAATAATAGATAAAAATAAATTATATTAATCATTAACTAATCCCATTAATAAAATGAGATTGTTTTACTCCTACATTTAAATTAGAAGAGATTTTTGAAAATACAAGTAATAATTTTTATTTTCTAAAATTTAATTTTCTAAATGAAGTGTTGATCAGAGACAACAAATCATAATTTCTGAATCATTTAATAAAAATCAATCATGTTTTTTCTTTATTTAGTAAATACATTAGTAAATAAAATGCACCTAATAATACACTAATACATTTTGGATACAGTTTAAATTTCAAATATACCTTTAAAATTCTGGAAAACTTAATATTTGACATGTGTTTTAAACTAATCAGATTAGCCCATTCCTCAACTAATTCAGTTACTTGATATTGGGTTTTACAATGAAGAAGCCAAATCCAAGGTAGAGGTTAGTAATAGAGGAAGGTAAGTGGAAATCATCTATCAGTTTATTTATTTATTTATTTTTTTTAATGAAATGTCAACACTAGAATACAACTCAGAAGGGAACACCATCTTGACATTCATCCCAGCCCAGCTAACACTCTGAAAGTTTCGTATAAACATGTTCCCTTCCTTCCATTGATGCTTCAGACATAAGAGTGAAGTGGTACAGCTGTGGGTCTCCTCTGCGACAGTCACTTACTACTGCACTGGCTGCTAGACCTGGCCAGGGAAGACCTTTCTTCATTGATCACTGCCACATAATGAGATTTAGTGCCCAATGGAGATCTGTTGTGAAAAATAAATAATGGCAAATAATAAACAATGCAGATTACACAGAAGTACAATTCACTGCTTTTCAGTAAAAACTTAGGAACTTAGAGTTTTAGTAGTTCTACCAATCACACATTTACGTGATCCAATGGCAAAATCTTGGTGTTGATATACCCATGTTATCTATTTATTGCAGAAAAAACTAAAGCCTTTTGTTTTACGTGGCGTTCTGGGTAAAGGACATTTGAAATCATTTCGAGGCCTACCATTGTAGTTGTATAAGTCTAACAGAACAAGAATGGCTTCTGGTAGAGGGCACCGGCCATGTGGGAGGCTCCAGGTCCTACAGGCGGTCAGGCACATGGGGGCAGCTGTGCGCAGAACCTGCTGGCTGGGAAGTTCCTCCAAAGAGCAGGTCCAATCCGGGCCATCACTGTGACCCATGACCTTGGGCGCCAGGTTTCAGAGCTCCCCAGAGCCCTGTCCATCCTGGCCAGTAACTGAAGGACCTTTACCCACTTCCTTTCTCTGAGTACCAGGGATTTGGGGTCCAGGATAAGGAGCAAAGTTGTTTAATAAGCCACCCCTTCCTTATCCTGGGGACCCTATAGCCCAGCTTCTGGAGGAGAAGAGTAGAGTCCCAGCCACCCCAGGATGTACTTCCCCAGCTGTTATGCAGCCCCCACCAGGCATGCCACTGCTCCCTGAAGACATTGGCCTCCCATCTTATGATGCATCAGTGCAGACTACATGTTCCCACTGCCATCAGGCCATCACCACCAAGATCTCCTATGAGGTTAGCCTGCTAAACCTCAGGCTGGGTTTCTTCTGCTGCTTCATGGGGTGTGATCTGGGCTGCTGCTTGATCCCCTGCCTCATCCGTGATTTCAAGGATGTGAAACACAGGTGTCCTAGCTGCAAAATCTACATTGACACATACAAGTGCTTGTGCTAACAGAGCTGAACTCCGACTCCCCAACCTGTCAGTGGCCCCCTACCTATGTTTCATTCCCTGTGCTCAGTGGTCTTTTCTCCTCCATTTGGGGTTGCAATCTGTGCCGCCATGCCCTGGAAGTCCTGTCCTCTTCTTGCCCTACCTTGAGCATCTGACTCTTTCAGCAAAAATTCTGTGAGTTTTAAAGGCCAAGGACAAGCGGTGGCAGAGGAATAACACTGAGCTTCTGTGTTGCTGGTTTGCTTGGTGTTTTGTGATTCAGAAAATAAGCTAGAAAGGGTCTCTTACTTGCGTCCTCACTTGTCTATTTCCATTCAAGGTCCAGACCGGGTCCTGACTCTCTCTGAGGCCAAAAGCAGAAAAACAGTTCCTAGTCTGGGGGCCTGCAAGAGAGACTGTGCAGTGAAGTTTCTGACCTGCTGGGCTGGAAGTAGGGCATCATCTGGACCCAAGCAGAACAGGGTCATAAGGCCTGGGTTTGTTGTGAGGTATGCTGCACCTCTGGTGTGCTAGACGGGCATGTCAGAATCAATGATTGCCAACTCTGACCCTCAGCACTCAGATATGGAAACCCAGGACATCCCTCTGTCCAAGTGCCCAAAGTAGGAAGGATGCTGGGTAAGTCATGGCCCTGGTAACCAAGAGCAGCTCATCCTTTCGCCACCCTCTTTGAGTTGGTGTGCAGACCCCCTTTCTGGCCATGATTCTGTGAACCCCTATTTTTCTGGGGCTAGAAGGAACATCCATGAGCCTAGCCTATTCTCTCTAACCTGTGTCCTCACTGTGTGTGGTTGCCACCTCTATTCAGTGGCTGCTGTGTTGCAGCTAGGACAGAGGTAGATAGGAGGGGCCCCCTTATAGAAGTGCTGGGATTTACAGCGCCTTCAGCCTTGGTTCTCTTCCTGGAAAGCACTAGGCCCTTTGCCCCAGCTGACTTGCTGTTTCTCTACCTCTTTGGGACACCTCAACAGCAACAGCTGTGGCACTGGGCTGGGATGAGGAAGGAGCAGGCACAAGCGGTGGGAGTGCCCTAGTGGATATCAGCCCTGCACAATGTGCAGGCCCAAACCTGTCTTCATTTCCTGAATAGTTTGTCTATGAACTTGCCCACACGGACAATGAACCCTGCTGCTATTGCTCTTCTTGCACTGCTATTGCATGGCTTCCAGTCATTATGAATTGTGGCCTGGTCTCAGTTTGTAGTTTCTCATTAAATTGACGCTTTTACTAGCCCCCACCTCACCCCCACCCCCAAAAAAATAAATAAAAAGATTGGCTGCAGGGGAAGAAGGCTATAGGAAGAGGGATCCGCCCCCACATCTCAGCTGTATACACAGATCATTCTCTACCTCTCAGTGGGAAATCCCAGAGTTATGGACTAACAGAGCACACCAGATTAATCCCAAATATTCTACAAAGAAACCACCATAAAGCTCCCCAACTTACACCCCTGAGAAATAGAGAAAATATGTTTGACAACATTTAAATACAGTAAAAGGGAAACTGTTTTAGCAATTTTTATTCTAGACATTGCCATAATTATAATTTTTAGCCTTTTTTCTGTGTTCTGTGTACAAGTCAGAGTAACATAATGATCACTAGTAATCATATCATCATTATAGGAATAAATTACATATACTGAAATTTCATTTCTTAAAATTTCACTACCCAACTTGAGTCTTTTCTGTTATTTGAGCAGCTTCATTTCATAGGTCATGATATTTCCCTTCTTTAGAAGTTTTTCTACAAACCTCGTGTTTAAAGAGTACACTAAAGTGGTCCCCCATTTCCCTGGGACCAAAATATTAATTATAAAGTAACATTTTGTCTCTATTTCAAGCTTATGTTGTAAAGTAAACATTACCAAGTAAATGAAATTCCTGCTCAGGAAATAATTTATCTACTTTTGGAAAAAAAAAAGTACTCTTTGAGTCAATATAATGCATTCCTTCGCTAAGCATGTATTTTTAATTTTTTTTTTCAGTTGTAGATGGACACAATAAATATTTATTTATTGCATGTATTTTCTGTAGTGTAGCATCTGTATCAGTTAGCTATTGCAGTACAACAGACCACCTCAAACATCACATGTGAACAACTTGTTTGGTCAGCTTTTCCAATCTTGATTGTCTTATACATGCCTCTGATGTGAGATCTGGGTCTGGTGCACAGCTCTACTGAAGTGGCTGAGAGTGGGCTGATGGATATTTTCCTTAAGATGATTTCATCATAAGGGTGGTGGTGACTTGTTTCTCTACCTAGTGGTCTCTCTTCAAACAGCAGGCTGTCCGGCTTCTCCTCAGAGGGTGGCAGGTATCTAACTGACACAGAAGCAACACACAAGGGCCCTTGAGACCCAGGTACAGAACTCCCTATACTTAAACCACCAAATGAATTCACCAGGGCAGCCATGCATATTCTACTCGCCAAAACAATTCCCATAGTCAGTCAAGATGGGGAAGTAGATTCTACTTTTTGAAAGAAGGAGCTGTAAGATCACACTTCTTTAGAAGAAGTGGGTGAGAAATAGGAACGTTTTTGTTATGAATCGACCACATTTTTATTAACATATATCATAAAATTTATTTTTGTTCACCATTGTATGTGAGCACCTAGAAACTACCTGGAACATGCTCAATATTCAAATATAGTTAAATGAATTAATGTACAGCCCATCTCTGTGGGAGGGAAACTACTTATATGGGAAATAATATTAATTGCCTGGCTCACTGTTTATTCCAACAGGTTTCCAGGATGCTTTTCTAGAATACAAAGATTCAAAAGCTAAGCCCTTTATTTCACAGTTAACTTTGTAGTAGGTTTTTTCGATGTAGACTCAGTTTTTCAAAATAAGCATTTCATTTTATTTTTTTTATTGTTGGTTGTTCAAAACATTACATAGTTCTTGATATATCATCTTTCACACTTTGCTTCAAGTGGGTTATGAACTCCCATTTTTAGCCCATATACAGCTTGCAGAATCACATCAATTACACATCCATTGATTTACATATTGCCATACTAGTGACTGTCATGTTCTGCTACCTTTCCTATCCTCTACTATCCCCCCTCCCCTCCCCACCCCTCTTCTCTCTCTACCCCCTCTATTGACCTTCATTTCCCCCCCCCCCCAAAAAAAAAAAAAAAAAGCATTTCAGATATTTGAAAGAAGGAAATTAGTATGGGGCAGTGCCCACTTTGGGAGATGATTCCTCTTTCAGGAATAGTGATGGATGTTCATTCACTCCTCCTATCCCGAGACTTATCTGGAAGTTTCTAGTATCTGTTTCTTGGGATCATATTGAAGCTTTCTACATTTTAATCTCTATTTTTTTTGTCTTCTTCCCTTTTCAAATAAAAGACTAAAAATAAATTTTAAGCTTGTGTGCCAAAATGTCATTCATTTCTACATTTTATATTTTTAAGGACTTTAAAAATTCACTGTAGGTTACTTTTGATTGTTTGTTCCAACATGAATCACCAGGAATAGGTAGCAATTAGTGAACATTGAGAGTTTCTTCATAACATCTAACACAAGAGCTTCACGAAGACAGAATATACCTAATTAGTATTGTCAGTTTTGTTTTGTTTTTTTGGTTCTGGGGATTGAACTCAGGGGCACTCAATCTTTGAACCACATCCCTAGTCCCATTTTGTATTTTATTTATAGACAGTGTCTCACTGAGTTGCTAAGCCCCTTTCTGAGGCTGGCTTTGAACTCACAAGCCTCCTGTCTCAGCCTCAGGAGCCCCTGGGATTATAGGCTTGAGCCACTTTGCCCAGGAGTCTTGTCAGTTTAAGGGGGACTTTCTTCTTGCACCTCCAGAGACAGTCACTCAGCACTGCTCAGTGTCCAGGCTTCTGTACTAACAGTAGGAAGAATAGTGAGGAGTTTATTCACTTTCAATTGCTAATGAGGAATCTGAATTTTCCTTCAGGATACATTGTTTATACCACTATTCTCTAACTCCAATTCTCCAAGTGTAGAATCTGTTTAGTAGGCTCAAAGATATTTACATAGTATTGGATCCACAGAATGTTTTGAGTTATATTTCATGATTGCATGTACATTTTTCAAAAGAAAAAGGTCTCAGTCCTAACCCCATCCACAACAAAAAACAGGATTCTTATAAATTTTAGGCAGACAATAACAATTTAACTATGGTAATAAAGAGTAATTAATGAGAGGAATGCTTTATTAAAAACTTATATCCTGTGTCTTTTTGAAAATTTGCTTAGAAAGCAAGAAATTAATTTTCCAAAATATTGCATTATTCATGTAATATTTCTCCAACTTCCAAACTGGAAAAGTCTATTTGAAGTTCCATTGTTATAAATGAAATTTTAATTTTTTAAATTATTTTTAAGTAGGTAAGTTAAAATTCAGCTCTGTTTTCATTCTAACAGTGCCTTTTAAGCAAAAATCAAATTTCATTTTAAATTTATGTTGCATTTAAATATTGACATTTTAATACTCAAATGTCATTAAGAAGTTAAAATATTTTGATAATTGTTATTTATCTAGGATTTTAATGTTTTTTATAAATATATAAATACACAGAGAGATTTAAACATAAGTTCTTGGAATAAGCTTTCTAAAAACAATTGGGTTTATTTTCCAATATTTATAACTTTAAAACTACTGTATTTTTAAAATATATCAGGTGAAAATTGTAAGACTAACAGTAAATTATTGGTGTTAAAGGAGTAGAATCATTGCACTGTAGAGACCAAATTGCCTTAGAAATAATTTTGTAATAATACAGAGCAAAAAGATACAGGGTCATTCAGGGTAAAAACAATTTATTAACTGGACTAGAACTCAAACTTTGATTAAAATAAATTATATTTATGCTAGATAAATTATAGTAGAGTTCTTGTTTTTTTATGTATTAATGTTTGTTTCAGGGTCCTTGTAGGAATTTTTTCCTCAAGACTGATATCTTTATAGTTTTGTATAATAATCATCCATTCACACTTCAGAATGCCCAAAGCTACAG